AAACAAACAAACAAACAAACAAACAGACAGACATATACTTGACAAAGGGATAATCATGGAAAAACTATAAATCTTTATTCCAATTTGAGAGTAACCTTTAAAAAAAATTAAAGCTGTAGCCTTAAAACATATTACCCAGAGATTAAATGCCAATGAATGAAATACTTCTGTGGTAATTCTGGAAATTAGCTGAACAGCGTATCTTTTTTTTTCAGATTTCTAATAAGATTACAAGTGCTATATATGAGAAACTCTAAAGAATGCAAGCATATCATGGCTTTATTGTGCTTTTTGTTTGCTTAAATAACAGTATCTGCTGAAGCACATGATTGTGCATTTTTCTGATACTAAGAGAAAAGCACTAAGCATATACCAATTTTAACAAATGTGCATTGCTACTATGCTGTGGTGATTCATGTTCCACTTCATTTATTGCGACTGAGGTTGTTCCCATCCATGACTGTAGAATTATTCTCCTGAGCATTTTTCTAAACTTACAGTTTTACTGTGAAAATGGCACACACCAAGATCAAACATTTGAGTTGTATATCCAATGAATGTATTTATTCATTGTCCAAAGAACTTGTGTGTTGATGCACATATAGTCTTCATACAGTTAGTTTTGTACAATCTGCAAAAAAGTTTCTGTGCATGTTTTTCTGTTGCTTAATGTTGAAATTATTGGATTTAGAAAGTTTAACATTTCATTTCACTTAATTTACATTATATGGTAATATATAAAGTAACTGTCAAGTACAAATTACTTTTGTATTTCCTTTTAATATTTTTAAATTTCAAATGGTCAGGGTTTTTTTTCTTGGCCAGTTTATTAATATATTACAGTGTTTTATCCTTTCTAATGTTTTAAACAACCTTATCTATACATAGAATTTCAGGGTTAAAAATATAATAAATTAGTGAAATACAAATACTTATTAAGGTCACTTTAATATTATTTTGATGAAGGTTTTGCACGGAATTTGTCAGAAGGCAGCAATGCGAACTATACAGAATATGTTGCCACCAGATGGTATCGCTCTCCTGAACTCTTGTTAGGGTAAGTAAACTTAGAATTTATAAATAATGTGGTACAATTTTATATATTATATTTATTAAAACACATTTACTCTACTCAATGTTAGTCTCATTTAATAAGCCCAGATTATTTTTACTTTAGCTGTTCTTGTAAATTGGCTAATTTTGATAGTGAGCATTGAATTGAGGGTTTGTTTTCTCTTGAAGCATAATTTACAGTATTTAAATATCATATTGCTAATGTATATTTTCAAATAGAGCAGGGATGGCCTGTTGAAATCAAAAGGTGTGATTCAGTATCCATTAGTACAAGGATCTATTCATTTATGTATTCCATGATTGAATAGAACATATGTATTAAGAGCCTTTCTTTAAACTCCAAATCATGTGTAATGATCTTGCCTTCCCAGTAATTAGGGAAGTTTAGGACTCAAATTATAAACTAAAGTTAATCAGGAATAATTATTGAATAATTGGATCCTGTTGTATTATTATATTAATCTTCAGGTTTGAGGATGGGTTGGGAGAGTAAAAAATCATGGAAGAAGGCAAGGCAAACCTTTTAATGAATAGTCAAGAAAATTATGCAGATATGTCCATGAAGTCACCAGGAGTCAAGCTTGACTCAAAGGAGACTATATTTTTATCTGCATGTTAATTTATACATTCAGCTCTAAATTCCTTGGAAAGAAATATCAATAAAACCATTCATTTATCCTTCAGAGCCATTAGTTTTTGGTGTGAAATCTTATAAAAAGACAAGGGCAGTTAGTCTAACCGGTCAGTGAAAAATATGTAGAGTTTCTATATTTTTTTCTCATATAAATGTGAGCCTGTGACTATGCATTGCAGCTATAATAAAGAGTGTTCTAGAAAAAGGAAGTGTATGTTTTCTGTCTGAAGATCTTTGATACTGATTCTATTTTTTAAAAATCAATGCAGGATGAAATACTTAAATAGATTGTAGGCATATAAGTTCAAGCAGCAATAGCATCATATGCTTTCTTTTCAGTGCCCCCTATGGCAAGTCTGTAGATATGTGGTCAGTAGGCTGTATTCTTGGGGAACTTAGTGATGGACAACCACTGTTTCCTGGTGAAAGTGAAATTGATCAACTTTTTACAATTCAGAAGGTATTGGGACCACTTCCTGCAGAACAAATGAAGCTTTTCTACAGCAATCCCCGTTTCCATGGCCTGCGGGTAACGTTTAGCTGAATTGTACCATGAATGTTTTCTAGTGGTGAATTTGTATAAAATATGTCTACCAAAATTCTCGCAATACTTTATACACATTTATATATACAATAAATGTGTATAAGAGTTTATCTACTTTGTTCTGGTATGGCAAAGGATATATTTATGACTCATGATAATAGTATTGTGATGATGGGAAATGCTTTTTATCTTGCCTCCACTTATACAAGAACTTTGAAAAATGCAAGTTGGAGCATTTCATAATTCATGTTTTGTGATGGTTTGCACATTACAAACTACTAATTCATTAATTAACAGACTGAACACTCATTAAAACAAATAAATAGATAAATATGTATTGTGTACAATACATCTATTGCTTGTATGCAATAGATGAAAGTGGCTCTCTGAAATTACGTCATGTCAAAATATTGTTAACCCAGAATAGTATGTAAATATTATATGGTATCTGTGGTTGGTGCAGGTCAAGTGACATTTAGCAAAATGATGACAGAGGTTTGTACTCATGATTTAAGGAGTTGAAAGTCATCTCTATTTCATCTTTGAGTATAATCACTTTTGTTTAAGTCAGCTTTTGTTTACCATTTTTCCATATCAAAAGTATGTATCATCTAATCCAATAGAACAGTCAAAGGGTTTATTTCGGGGGAAAATATTTGAAAAACAATCGTAAGCATATTACATATTTTAAATAGTTGAGTACAACTCCTACTTGAGCAATTTGTAACATAAATTGCAATTACATACAGTGCATTTGGAAAGTATTCAGACCCCCTTCACTTTTTTCAATTTTGTTATGTTGCAGCCTGATACAACAATCATTCAAATTCATTTTTTTCTCATTAATTCGTATTAATTAATAATGTCTGTAAATTTATTAAAAAGGAAAAACTGAAATATCACATTGGCATAAGTATTCAGACCCTTTACTCAGTACAGTGGTATCTCGGTTCACGAACTTAATTCGTTCCGCGACTCCGA